TTTTTTTCACGACCAGTTTTTGTTGTGTTGGTCTTCTGTTAGGCATGCCTGGGCTTCTGTTTTCTGGCTTTTGTTCTCACCTATAATGGTGGGAAGGTGGTTGTGGCCTTTGGCTACTTCTTAAAATTGGTAGCAGAAAAAGTGCAATTGGTAGTTTCTTGCATGTGGGGCTTTTTTGATTCCATGCCACATTGCTGTGCAGCCCCAACATCAGTCTTCCTTTGGTGAGCTGACTTTGCTTAAGGCGCCATCCCTGATTACTTCCTCTTACTGAGTTTCAGGAATTTAAGATATGAAAGTGTGCTTTATCCTGATTCTTCTCTTGGCTTGATCCTGTTGGAGGGATGGGTGCAGTCATAATCATCTCTCTGCCTCCTGGTCCCTGTATATTCTGAGCTAGCAATGAACTGGTTGTGTACATTTAGGGTGTGACACTTGGTACCATCTCTGCCAAGACTCACAAGTTGTGTCAGGAGAGTTAAACTCTTGCTTCTAGGACTGTTTCATGAAGGTCCTGGAGTCTGAGGAAATGTATTTCCAAATGGTTGCAGGGGACAATCTGAGCTGTTGTACTTGGTTCTATGCTGCTCATCTGCTCTCTTGTCCTGACGTAAGAGTCGTGCCTTCCTTGGCTTCCAGCCTAAGAGAGGGGACGCGGCCGTAGCTCTGGCAAAAAGCATTCAAAGTGACTCCCTCCTGGGTGGGGAGGAGTGCCCGGTGCTCCTCTTGGCCTTTGTTGTTGTCTTGAGGTAGGAACTTGAATAAGGTGATTTATTGTTGAATCAATACTTGTCAGAGCTTGAACTGAAGAGAACGTTGAGAGGTCGATGAGCATCAGCTTTGTGGTAGTGTGTCTGGTCTGGGTGAACTGTGGAAGTGGTGCCACAGAGTAAAAAGCGGGGAAGAGGGTGGCAGTGGTCAAGTGAGAATGTGGCAGTGGTCAGGTGAGAATTTAGGAGTGTTATTTAAGTAGGTCAAGAGGAGAAAAAAGTGCGTCGCCAGACAATTTTACACAAATTCTATGAGCTTAAGAAATGAGACACCTGGGCCTGCAGGAAGGTAAAAGCATGGTAGATACTTTAGACATTTTTTGGAAGGAAGATGATGAGTGGGGTGCGGAACAGGTACAGAAAGGATACCTGCAACTCCATACTTAAAGCACGTTGGATTCCAGTGGGGTGGATTCTAGGTTTGATTTGGGGACTCCGAGGTACAGGCTCTGTGTGAGTAATTGCCAGTGGAGCCGGTGACAGACACTGCCCTGCACAGGGTGGTGGGTGTACCTGTGAGGATGTGGAATGTGGTGGCAGTGGGAATCTTGACTAAACTGTATCACAGTACAACTAGATACAGGACACACCGTCTTCATCCCTTTGTCATTCACTGTGAGATTGGAGCAGGCTTTAGGCCTTTCTCAACAGCTGGAAATTGGACGTGACTTGAAACACCAAGTGGATATTGTGGAGCTACAGGAGCTGTTGGTGTGTAAGTTAATTTGCAGACTAATGCCAGTGATGCACTATATAACAAGTCAAAAAGGAGGTGTCTGATTATGCCCTCTGACTTTAAGCCACCAAAGTCTTAGTGTTCTCAGCACAGGTGATCGGACTCGTTTACAGCTTATGGGGATCAGCAGTGAACCTGTAACCTGCCTGAGGATGGGCAAACCAGCCAGTCGTTTAGCTGCTGTGGGATTTGGGACTGATAATCTCTCAGTGCAGTGCTGCTCTCAAGGACAGAGGATTTATTTGCCAAACATAGTGCAGGCTGCAGCTGGATTCTGGATTGCATCATTGCCTGGGGCTGGATATGAAGTGCTGCTGGTGCTATTCATTGTTAAGTGGGGAAAGAGCAGAGTGCCTGTTTACACACTACCAATTTCAGTGCTGAGAAGCTTGACGTGTCCATTTTTCTTCTTCACAGACTTCTTCTGTTGTAACACCCATGTGCCTTCTGCCAGGGAAGTCTAAACGCTGCTCAGGTATTTTCTATGCAGTTGCCTTCTTGATTCCAAATTGGTTTTGGGCCTCAGTGTCTCCCTTTTAATATTTGTGTGGCTTTCCCCTTGAATCAGTATTGGCTGTTGAACAGTCGTTTTGGATGACGCCCAGCATCCCAGGATGGAAGGTACATATTCAAGTCAAGGCATGACAATAAAATTTCTCTTTGGAAAATTCAGAGCTTTATGCACCATTGCTGGGTGGAAAGCTGAAAGTGCTGTGAAGTTGGTCTGTATAGACACAGTATTCTCAAGGGAGAAAAAAAGATCCTTGAAGTTTTTTTTTGAAAAAAAGAGCCTTCATGGTTTAACCACTTTACAAATCTTGCTTTTAAAAAACTGGGCCTGGAAACACCTGAATTAATCTCTTCAGTGTGTGCTCAGAGATACACCTTTTAAAAGCTTGTATCATTCTCTCTATAATGTCACGTTGAGCCCCAGCAGAAAAGTTGTGTGGTTTCTAATGAGAGCTTTGTGATGTGTCTGCTGTGGGTTTAAAGCTTCCTGGCTGCCTTCTGCAGGGAAGTCACATGCAGTCCTCCTTGCCCGTGGCTCTGGCCCTGGCAGCTCTGGGTCCCTAGCACGTGCATCTGGGGTTACTGCAGCACTGCTGCCTGTGGAAGTTCTCTACACTGTTCTGGAAGATGCCAGAGGAAGCACCTTCTTTGTTCTAATGGGGCATTAACATTGTGTTCAAGAGTATTTTATAGCTTAGGAATTTGCCTACCTGAGGTAAATATTAATAACTTTTAAAAAAAAAATTAATAACTTTTTCTTTGTTGCTGCAAAAGGGTTTTTTTGGTAGTGTGGAAAGACGGGAGAAACTGCAATGTTGCTGCTCAGCATGCTTCCTCTATTGTAGTTCTTCACTGCTATTCACAGCACTTCAGTTTTGTGTCACAGATCTTATTTAAAATATCTTGCTTATAAGTGTTCCAAACCTTGATATCCCAATTACCCATCATGTCTGCCTGTCTTGGAAAGAGGGCCCCCTAAAATACTAATTTTTTTGACAGAGTGCTAAAGGTAGACAAGTTGTTGTTTGGGATCATCTAGCAAGTACATGGCAATGGTATGAAAACCAAAACTTGGCTCCCAAGATTTTTATCGTAATGCTTTGGCTATGAGTTGATTGTTCCCTTTTTGCAGAGGTCAAGAGAAATGAAGTTCTTCATTACCCCATGCCTCTTCCAGCTGAGCCTTGTTCTGCTTCAGTCAGTAGGATTTATTTCTTCACTTAAATATGGGACCATTGGAGACAAGGTTCCCTGTTTCACTTCACCCTTAATGGAAAGCATCTTTCTGAGCAGATCGTACTCACCTCCTGTGCAAAGCTTAATTTGTCTTGTTTCCTTCCCACATGGCAACCTGTCAAGATGGCCCAGCCTTTGCTGCCCTTAGGAGTCGTGCTGCTCCGTGTTGCACGTGGACTAAGCGTCACAGAGGTAGACTGCACTGCCCAAGACCATGGTGAATTCTTTAAGGTCGCCATAAAGCGTTGCTTGAGCCTCGCCCAGTAGACAGTATTATTAGAGCACTATTAGTAGCAGAGGCAATTAGAGTGTCTTTAAGTGAATAGTGCCAATGGGAATGGCATGTTAGGCAGGGCAACTGCAAGCCTGGTCTGAAACATGACCAACCTTGAAACCCTATCTCTACTCCACTGACCCATGCAGGCTGACTTCATAGCGTTGACTGACTGTGCAGGTTGCGTCAATGCCTGAAATGTAGCTGCTTCCTGGCAGTGGGGCAGAGCCTGCCTGCACGCCTGAAAACATGGTACTCAAAGCAGGGCAAAAATTGCATTCATGCATCATTCCAGTAGCTGACCACAAGGGACTGAACTCAGAAGGTCCCTCTCGTCATGCCTGTGTCCTGGGTTACCAGAGTGGAAAGTGTTCATTTTCCTCTTCATGCTAAATGAAGGTCTCAGGGGTTCAACATAGCCGTAAAAAAGTGAGATGTTGTTTCCCAAGGGTTCTTCCTAACAGAGCCTGTTATCTGTGGGGTAGGAGAATCCTCCCTCAACTAGGATTTCCCTGCAAAACATACTTCCAAGTGCTACCTCCCCAAAGTTTTAGGCAAGATAGTATCCTCTTTGTGATAGGTGAAGCTGGGTCCCAAAGGCTCATTTACTCCAGCTTTATCCCTTGCAATCACAACTGTCCACCTGGGCAGAGCTTTACCTCATGCCCCTTGGCCTGAAACACCCCAGGAAACGGAGCTCCCTGGAGCAAGGGCAGCTGTGCTGCAGCGCCTGGAGAGCATTTCTCAGAACCAGCCTCTGCGTTTGCCAAGTTCCTGCCACTGCTACGAGCCACAGCAGGAGAAGGGGGTGACCTTTTTCCTTTTTTGTGCTGGGTGAAAGTCACTCTGTCTCAGGAGTGCGGAGCCCCGCCTGCGGCTGGAGCTGGCCCTGATAAGCCGGTTGTTTTCCCCTCTCCTCTCCCCTCCGCGCTGTGCCGGGCTTATCTGGGCGCCTGAGTTATGTTAAGTAGCGGGTGCGTGCTTGCTCTCTGTTCTCCTCGCTGCTTTTGCTCCTTGGATTTCAATTCCAAACATGGTTATCCCTTTGGGGTCTCTCTCGTTCTGCTGCCAAGAGATACACATTCCACACTCCGCTCCAGCTCCCTCCGCTGCTGGCGCTATTTCCATTTGCCGGCGGGCAGGCGAGAGAGGCACGGCAACGGGATCACTGTCCTGCCTGCGACTTTTCCAGCTAATGGCCTCTACTCTGTCTTTGACTGAGCTCTTCTGGCCTCCTATTTGCCAACTCCTCTTCTCACCAGTGTGGCTAAGGAGGGGACCAGCCACCAGTTTGTGAGCCACAAAGAGGAGAAACGAGCCCTGTGGGGATTTTTGGGTGCAAAGACATTTGGCGGTGCTTTAATATGTCGCTCTGAAGCACACTGCTGCGGGACCGGCTGACACTCAAGAGGAGGAGGAGGAGAAACAGCTACCCAGCAGCTCTGGTTTCAGACCTCTGCAGCACCCTTTGTGTATGACAATTCATTTTGAGTGCAGGACGGCCAGGGAGGGTGGGAAGTGGGGAAGGATGAGTGCGAGCAGCCTCTCTTGGGACCAGGCTGTTCTTCAGCCACCGGTGTGTGATGCCTGGAAGGAGATTATGGAGGGAGCAGCCTACCAGCTGGCCAGCTGCATCGTCCTTCTGGGTTACATGGGGGGAAGTGGCATCTTTGGGTACCTCTATATCTTTGGCTTCCTGGCCCCAGGCTACTTCTGCTATGCTCTGTGGGGCTGGCTGAGCGCCTGCGGGCTGGATATCTTCATATGGAACATGCTGCTCGTCCTCATCTGCTTGCTTCAGCTGGCTCACCTGGCTTACCGGCTCCGCAGAGACACCATCCCGGAAGAGTTTGACCTCCTCTACAAGACCATGTACCTGCCCTTGCAGGTGCCCCTGGATGTCTACAAAGAAATCATGAAGTGCTGCGAAGAACAAGTCCAGTCGCTAGTCAGAGACCAGAATTATGCAGTGGAGGGCAAGACGCCCATTGACCGCCTCTCGTTGCTGCTGTCGGGCAGGTAAAGCCTCTCCTCTGTCTGAGCAAAGTCTGACAGCAGAATGCTGTGCCTTATTGTTGTGTTTTCTCCCCCTGTAGAAACTGGGGTGGGGATGGTTTGCTTCCTTTGAAAGCACTTTGAGATATGCATCTGTTTGTTGGGATGGGGGTAATTTGCTTTTGGGGGTTGTTTTTGTTTTCTTTTGTTTTTCTAAATTAGAGTATTTCAGGGAATGGTTTGCAGAATCAAGCTGTGTGCAATGAATCAGCCAGGTCAGCCTTGCCTGTGATACTGATGATTGTCACTTTAAAGTGATCTTATTTCTGATGAAGGCAGACGGGCCATTGAGAGAGTGTTTCTCAAGGCAAGAAGGCGGTGTGTCTGGACCTGCAGTTTCTGGGGGTACCAGACACACCTCTGTCATGTGAATGGCTGTGCACTGAGTACGACGAGTCCTCACTTCACCTGCTCCCTCTGGCCAGCAGTGTTCAGGGAGAGGTTGCACCCATGTTCCAAACGCCTCAGCCCTCAGGGCTCTGAAATTTTTCACCTTGAGGGTCATTTCATCAAAAGAGCCAGCACTCTCCTGTGATGCGTCCCACCTCATCAGGCCTCTTTCTTTCTCTGTGCCGTCATGCATTCATGATGTTCCTTCCTCTGCACCACCAAGGAGGACCTCGGGGACCTCTAGATAGTTCCACTGATTGCCTGGCAAGCCATGCAAATTTGATTATTGAGTGAGCTGTGCTGATAAAGTACTGGCATTTGTTCACCTGAGATCCTGTGTCATGCCTTTGTGAACATACCATTTTTAAATGATTTTCAAAATCCAAAAGCAAAAGAGTAATGATATTGGCTTCCCAGCTGCTGCCAGGCACTTGGCACTAATGTCTAGTGAGAGTAGGAAAGGAAGGAGATTTGTAAATGGGAGCAGTGCTGAGCTGTAGGAGGTGTGTCTCACAAGGATTTTCCTTTGAGAGGACAAACTCAGCATCCCCTGGATCTTGTCTTCCATCCTCTCTGGTGAGGGGCTGTGTCAAGATGAAGGACTGTCCTTCCTTTGTTTGGTGTTTGTCCCTTTTCTAGGATGTGTTAAGAGCATCCTGAGACCACTGACCAATGCTGAATGGCAAAGCAGTGGGAGGACATGGGGTATGTGTGTTTCCATTAGGTGTCTCTCCTTACCAAAGGTCTGTGCTGAGCAGCTCACTTTGAAGTTTACCATATCTGCAAGTAATGTTTGTGGGGAAGAGTCTGTGCTGCCTTGCCCTGCATGGCATAATCTGATGCTGCTCTGTCAGCATGGAGGTGCTGCAACAGCTAGTAAGCTGGTGCTGGTGGGGTAGTTGTTCTGCTCCCTTTTGCAGTAGGAAGTGCACATCTTGACCGGTATAGGATGCTCTGTGGAGAGGGGACTGGATTTGCATTTCCTGGTACCCACTCTGTTGCCTTGTGAGGGCCGTGCTGACCCAGCAGAGCACTGCTACTATTATGGTGTCCCCTCTTAAACTGAACAATAACAAGACAAGGGAGACTTGGAAATGCTGAATGTGCCTGGGTCATGAAACCTGCCTTGTGATCCTTCACCCTTCCAGGCCATGCTCCCAGGTTACTGAAAGCCAATGGTGAACTGAACCTTGTAACTCCTGAGAGCAAGAAATGCCTTTGTGCATCATACAAAGGGGGAATATGGCAACAGGGAGGCAAAAGGACCCAAATCTGGAGGAGCAGAGTGACAAATAGAGCTCCAGAATGCTCTGTCATTGCCCTAGTCCTGTGCAGCCCTCCTCCTCTGCTCTCATCGCTGAGCTGGGTGAGCGTTTGACCTTGACATTGGGAGGCAATTGTAGCAAACCTAGGGGAAATGGATGCTTGGGAGGCCAAGAGAAATTGAATGGTAATATGCAGCGAACTATAAGCTTACAGCATGATGTGTCAGGAATGATGGCCAATGTGATTTTTGGGGAGTTCTAGGTGTAACAGCTTCCCAGCATTGAGGCGGGGAAAGCCTTCGTGCAACCCTGGGGACACAAAGAAGATGCAAGTACAAAGAGCCATAGACTGGCTTAGAAGTTCCTGAAAAGCAGCAGCAGTCGTGTGGGCTGAGAAGTTCTGGGTTAGGACCAAGCATTGCACCTGTGAGGGCTGGCTTTGTAGCAGGCAACAGAAAACACATGGAATATGGGGAAAGTGGCAGCAAATACCATTTCCCACAGAGAAAGGAGAGACAACCGCATGGACTGGAGTGTCTGCAGCTGTCCCAGAGAGGGTGTAGGAGACACCTGAGATGAGAAGTCCTTTCTTCCTTGGTAGGATAAGCTGCCTGCATGTTGTGTGAGCTGATCAGGGTTGTGTGACATCCGTTTTGTGACCTAAGCCTCTGCATCTCACCTGTCCTCTCTGCAGGGTCCGAGTGAGCCAGGACGGACAATTCCTTCACTACGTATTTCCATACCAGTTCCTGGACTCTCCGGAATGGGAGTCACTGCGACCCTCTGAGGAAGGAACTTTCCAGGTAACCCTGTACAGCCCCACAGCAGCCCGGCTTCACTCCCTGCTGCTTTGTTGTATTTCTGAAAAGGGGACGGAGGGGGCTTATTATGCCATTCAAACCTAACCAGGAATACTCTCCTCCCCTTCCTGGTGCTTTAGCCAGCACAGGAGGCTGTGATCAGCTGTGTTATCCTTTTTCTGTCTTTCTCTGAAGACCTCATTGCATGCTCTTACTATCAGCTGATGGCAGGGAGTGTGGAGCATGGTGCTCTTTCCAATTTAGCAGGGAGACAAGGCATGGGATTGCTGGCTGTCTTCCATTTGAGTGTTCCCTGGTACCTGTAAGGATGCATATTCCCTGCACGCTGCTAGGAGGGTGCATTGTTCCAGTATCAGGGTGGCAGCTGTGGCAATACGCAGCAGTGATGGAAATCCATAAATAACCTGCTCCTCACAGAAGTTTCTGATGGTGATGTGTTTGGGGTGGAGAAGCAGAAAGGATGATTCACACCCGAATATGGTTCTTTCTGAGTAAAAGAATCCCTTACTGAGAGGCCAGACCAATTCTTACTTGCAGCAACCGAAAGGATTTTGCTCTTGCTGTCAACACCCCATAGCATTTGTTTGGCTTTCCTTCTAGGAGAGATTATTTAAGCACACATCTCTCTGCCTTTAACTCACATCCGAGGACAGGCTGATCCCTGTCAGGATGTCAAACTAGGATCAGTTAGGGCATACAAGGAGAGATTTTTCTATTCCCTTGGGAGGGACAGTCATGAAGGAGTGATGATGCTGATCTTGTGAGGGCTGCCATGTTCAGACTTGGCTTAACCATGGCAGTTCTCCAAATCTGCTTTCCTTGGGTCTGAATCTGGCCCATGTGTGAAAGGGTGGTTGCTCCTGAAAGCTATGCCATCACCAGTGATTACCCTCTTGTAAGAGGAACGTTTGCAGGACATGGCTGACTGTGTGACTGTGGCACAGGGCCACATCTCGTGAGGAGAAACAAGGATGTCAAGCCAATGTAACGGGGTGGAGAGGGCAACAACAGCATGGCTGTGCTAGGGGTGTGGGTTTCTCATGTTTTGCACAGGATTTCATTCCTGCAGCAGATTGCTGCTAGCTCCTAGACTGTATTTGCCTAAAAGTTGAGCAGAAAGAAGGACAGCTGCCTGGTGCTCCTGGAAGGGCAGTGGCCAGCTGGGTGGCATGCAACCTGCAAAGATGTCTGCAGTGTTTTCTGAGCTAACTTCTGTGGAACTGAGAGCTCCCAGACTTCCTTTATCTGTGGTGTGTGAGACAGCTTGGGAGCAAGCAGGTACCAGGCTGCACCAGCCCTGCCAGCACCACACTCTTGGCCTCTCTTCTGCTCTGTGAGACAGGGCTGGTCATGGAGGTCAGCTGCATCTGGCACCATCAAGGGGAGGCAGAGTCCTAGGTGGGGAAAGGCTGCAGCCAGGTGCTGGAAATGCTTAAAACCTGTGTCTGCTTACTGAGAAGCATGAAGAAGTAGCAGCCCGTGTGAGTCCAGCATTCAGCAGGTGAGACTTGACCAGCCCCTGTTGCTGGCAGGCCATTACTTTTGGTGATCCTGCTTGGTCATGGTGATGTGCTGCTTTTGGCAGGTGTTTAACCCACTAGTCCCTCTTACCTGAGTAGTTAATAAAACCCTGTGACATATCTCACCTTACTCCTAGAATCACAATCATTTGATTAAAAAAGTGCATGTTTGGCTCTGGGACTTTGCTGGAGGAGGGCATGAAAGGTTTTTCTTGCTCAGGTTTTCCTTACAGCTTTCTGGATTGAGCAGTTTGAATCTTGAGCCCACTGAAAAATGGCAGAAGTGCAATTCAGTCTACAAGGAGAGCTGTTTTCCTTGAGCTCGCTGCTTTGGCTGTGTCTTCTTCCCACAGGACTGGTGGTATCCAGAGCCTGAAGGAGTTGGGTTTCAGGGCTGGCACTTTCCCTCAGAAGGCTGAATTATGGTCTCTGCCGATGCCAGAGCACTTGTGTCAAAGGGATTCACGAGTGAAATCTGTCTTGCTGCCCTGCAAGGAGACAGGTCTTCTTATCATATCTCACTTAATCCTTCATGAGAAGCAGAGGCTTTCGATCCTGTGCCAGAAGTTGGTTAGGAAAATGAGATTCTGCTCATTTCCCTTTCCGTGTGACCCTTCCTCTTGTTTGCCTCAGCCTGGGGAAGTTCTCAGGTTTTATTGCCTATATTTCTTTCACAAGGCAGCTGCTTGCATGGCAGTGGCATTAAATATCAAACCCAAGGACACACACATGCAGCCAGACTGTGTTCAGCTTCCCAGTGGCCCTCTGCCATTGTGGCTGGCCAAGGAGACTCCTGGATATAGAGTGAAAGGGAGCCCCCGGGATATTTTGGCTCCGGCACTTGTTCGCATGCTGGTGTCTCCATTACACTCGGATGTTCTTTGGCTCGAGGCAGTTTGACCCTTCCTGTATTCCTTATCTTTATTATTGTTTAATATTTATTATTCTGTTATTATATTATTATTATTTTACAATAGACTCTCATGTATTATATAATGTTTTTTATTATTAAGTCTGGTCTTACAGCTAGGGGGAAAAATGGTTCTGTTCACATTGGCAAAACCCAAAGCAAAATGAAATGTTGTCTGAAATCAACCCAATAACACCTGAAGTGAGTTCCCTACCTACACACAATCCCCTTTTATTTCCTCTCTTGCTGAGCTGTGCTGCACAGCCTTCAAGGCCATTCAGCCCTATGGTGCTCAGCAGAGCTGGCAAGTCAGGATGTCCCTCTGGCACCAGGTGACCAGGCAAGCCTTCCAGGTAGCCCTTCCTGCACCCAGGGACTTCCTGCAGCAGGGGTTGTGCAACCCAGCAGCAGGATGGGCTGGCAGCTTGCTGCAGAGCTACCCACTGGCAGCCTGGACTGGCTGGGCATGCAGAAATGCCCCCCTCTGTAACATTTCTGTAGAAGGATAAGGGATGCCTGTGCTTCCCTTTCATTTCAACTTCATCACTTAGTTGTCAACAGGGAGCATCATCTGAAAGTGAGAGATGTAGCAGTAGCCAGCCGTGTGGCCAGGTTAAGCAAGGGCATGCCACTAACTGCATAGGAAAACCTGGTCTCCAGCTCCTTGGGGAAAGAAAACAGAGGTGGGTAAGGATTTATCCAATTGTTCACCTTGGATGATCTGGTCAAAGTGGCTGGGGGCCTTCACTGGAGAGAAGCATGTAACCCCAAGGTGAGTGACCCCTACGCAGGCAGTGGGGCTTACTCTGCTCCCTCCCTGCCCCACAGGTCACACTGACAGCTGAGACTGACTGCAGCTTCATCACCTGGCCAAGGAAGAAGCTGTATCTCCTCCTGAGGAAGGACCGCTACATTGCCCGGCTCTTCTCCTCCCACCTGGGCTACGACATCTCAGAGAAGCTCTACTCTCTCAATGAGAAGCTCTTTGCCAAGTTTGGCCATCGCTTCGACATCCGTTTGCCCAGCCTGTACCACGTCCTCGGGCCAGCCTCCTCCGAGGGGGAGTCAGAGGACTGTGAGGAGCCATTGCCTGCCTTGGGCCAAGCTGATGCCTCTGAGCCCCCTCCACAGCCACCACCACCACCACCGTCAGCTCCACGTCCCCGGGCATCCCGGCCTGACAGTGACCTGCTGGGTGAGGACTCCACAAGTCTTGTCTTGGAAGATTTTGCTGAGTTGCCGGGGTCTTTTATGGACTATGTGAGCGAAGGGGAGTATATGAAGTGAGGGCACTCCTGGCACGGGCACGCCTCACCCTGTGTGGGACCCCCGCGTAAGTACCTGCTCGTGGAAGCAAGTCCTTCCATTGATGCAACTGCCCAGGCAGAGCAGCAGCCCCCAGCCTCTCACCCTCAGTTACCATGGGTTTGTTCCCTCAAAGTAGATTTTTGTTTCCTGCTGCCCCTAGAAATGTTGGGAGGTAAGCTTGAGCTGTGTGATTTTCTTAAGGAAAAGCAGCAGGGAAGAGACTTGACTCCAGGCACCAGCCACACTGTGGGGTGGAAGGGCTGGTAACCTGGCTGCAGGAAGCTCTTCCCTGCCCTGTCCTCTCTCCATCCCTCAGGAGAGGCAGAGAAACTGAGACAACATCCAGGCTGGTGGATGGTTCATAAGAGCCTGCAGACACCCCACAGGGCTCAGCCTCACTTGCCCTGAGGTAGAGCTGTGCCTCTAGGTACTCCAGTGTTGAGTCGAGGAAGATGTCTGCAGATGAGAGAGCAGACAACCCAGGAGCTGTTGATGGGTAGAAACAGCTCCAGGGCTTACAGTGAATTGATAGTGAGGAGCTGCTGTACACCCTGCAAGTGCTCAGTCTGGGCAGGGGGATCATGCTCAGAGTCCTTCCTTCCCCTGCCCACCGCAGCTCATCCCAGCATTTGCTCTGTCCTTGTTCGTGCCGGGCTTCAACTCAGCCAGATCAGCGAAGTATTGAAAAGACTGCCCTGTGTGCTATAGCTCTTGCCTCCAGTCACTCTGGGTTAACGTGCCTGAAACTGCTTTCTGGTGAGAAGGAATGAGATGCTCTCTCCCAAAATGCCATCTCCTGATTCTGCAAGGGAAGATTTCCCGAGCCTGGTGGACGTTGGGGCAGAGGAGCAATGCAGGCGAACAGAAATAGACAGGAGGGTGGCTCATGCTTGAAATTCAGATCCAAGTGGCCAGGAGAGAAATTCCACTCTGAGCTACTTTTAGCCAGCCACTGCACGCCAGCTGCTGCACACCAGCTGCTGCACACCAGCTGCAGATCACAATCCCTGCCACTGCCCCATTATAGCTGCTTTCTGGCATGCAGCTGCCAGGCACCAAGCCTGGCACTGGGATTTCTGTCCTAGAAGCTCCCACTGCGTCTGTCCCAGTTGGGTCTGTATGGCAAGGAGGAAGTTGCATGGCTGGGCTGCAGCTGGGAAGACTGCCTTCCAGCAGGCATCCTTGAACACAGTGCACCATCTGGTCTTCCCTGAGCCTGCTTAGGTCTGCGTCTGGGCTTCAAATGCTTGGACAGAGGACTCGCTGTCAAGGAGCGTGAGGCAGGACACGCTGACTTATGGTATGAGCCTTGAGAAGTCTGCAGTAATCTGCCCTACCCTGCAGTGCTTGTGCACAAGCCTCACCACTGTGATGGCAAGTGGACTGTCCCTCCTCAGTGCTCTACATGAAAAGGCTATCTGGGTCAGACATCACTTGCTATTTGCTATCTGGTGGAAGAGGCTTTTTTCACTGTTTCATCCAGTGGCTGTTCTTAGCTTTTGAAAACAGTGGAACTGGAAGCTCTTCCTGTTTGGTACAGTTTGAGTTGAGTCTCGTGCCTGTTTCTGTACTGCTTCCATGCCTCCAAACTTAAAATCTGGGATATGAAGAAACTGGCCAGGGAAGGAATGGGTGTATTTGGTTTTGCTTGAATCAGATAACAAGTCAGCAAAGGTTTTGCTTTGTTGTTTTGTTTGTTGCTTTTTTTAAAAAAAAAAAAATAAAAAAAGGGCAGCACAGAGAGAAAAGGAAAAAAAATCCTCATTTGTTTTCTAGCTTGTGATCTGAGGCAGGTCTGCCATGGCCCAGGGAAAGCAATTTCATAACTTTTCCCTTGGAAGTGGTGAAAACATCCATAGTAATCAAGGAAATTCCCTGCAGTGGCATTGTTCAAAGTAAGGACAGCTTCGGTTCCAGAGGTCAGGGCTCCCCTGGGGCTTTCCCCTGGTCTCTGCTCTCATCCCCTTCCCCAGCAACTTCCAACGTGGGAAATCCCCATGCTGAAGTGCTTCCATGAATCATGTTCCTCTTCATTTTCTGTCGCTATAACGGCCACCTTGCAGTACCACAGTACAGGAGGGTAATTCTTGAATGCCCAAAGTGCTACAAAGATTGCGCAGAAGAAAATATTCCTGGGAGAGATATTGGCCTACTGTAATTATCATCTAGTTCCTTAGAAGAGTTTCTAGTCTGCTTAGGAGAAAGAGAAACTGTGACATCCCACTGATGAGCACATTCTCTCTCTGAGGAGGAGGGATATTTCAATAACTGACAGGCTGCCTGCTTAAAGGAGGCAGGTTCAAAGGTTCTATTCAGAACTTGCTTTAACAGTGTACTGCTGAATTGCTCAGTGCTCCATAGCAAATTAAGCTTGATTTCTGGCATGAAAATTCAAACAACCAAAGGCCACCTGCTTTTTCCCCTTTTCATATCACATTTGTTCTAGTTTGTTGCTCTCAAGTGCTTGCAAGATGTGAAATTATTGCTATGTGAGTTTGTACAGTTACATCTTGGGACTGGCTTCCTACTGGGTGAGAGGATGGATGGATGGATGGATGGATGGATGCTTGATGGCCTGTAGTTTGGTATCTTGGTTAGTAGGAATTGTTTTACATCTGCTTTGAGGGTAAAATCCAGGTAGCTATGGGCTTTGTTCACCAATATTACAGAAGATGCTTGGGGTGTGTGTGTTGTTTTTGCTGTCCCAGGATGGGTGGGTAGGACATTTTCTGATTTATCACATGTTGAAGAATTACATAATTTTGCTAGATTATGGCAATAATGCTAATTTAGGTGAGGAGGGAGGAAGGACAGGTAATGGTGGGCTCCATGAGGTTTATGTCTTCAAAAAGTTTGGAAGTCAGATTTATTCCTGTGATAATAATGGTGCTCTCTTTCTTTCTTTCTCTCTCTCTCCCCTCCCTGTGTTGTCGTCTCGTACCCTCCCACCCCCTTTTCATTCCTCCTCCACTGCTTTCCTTCTGCAGCTCCTGGAAACCTTCTCCGGAGTTCTCCACACCCTCTCTGCAAAGGACGAGCCCCTCTGGCTCCCACTCAGACCCCTGAACTCTAGGGAACAACAGGCTGGTTTGATCCTGAAGCCCCCCTGAGGGAGCATATGCTCCCACAGGTTTCTGACCAGAGAGACACTCTTTAGCACGCACTGAGACGTCTGCCTGCAGACACGTACGCTCAGGAGCACGTGAAGCACACGCGTGAGACTGCGGTGTGACACTCCAGCACCTCCCACCCCACAGTTGTTCACCAGAGCTGCCTCCCCAGCATGCTTCCATGGTTGGTTTTCTAGTCCTGCCTCTCTGAGGCGTGTCGGCAGCTCTGATCCCGAGGAACACTGATGTTGCTGGAAGTGATACCAGCCTGCTCACAGAATCTGTGTTCCCTTTGATTTAATGATTCTCATTAAAGTCAGAGATGAAACTACCGTTGTTTGAGGATTTGGAGATGGAGATAACAGTGTTTGAAAGGCTTGAGGTGATCTCGAGGCATGGAGGGGGAAAGAGGGGAAAATGGGTTGCCTGGTGGCTTGGGTAATGAGTTTGCAATGGAGACCATGATATGGAGATTTGATATCACGCCTCTCGCTGGGCATCCACTCTAGTAAGACCAGAAATAATTTTTCCAGGGGTTAGGATTTATCGTTGATGACAAGCACCACTTCTTAAAGAAGTTACTGACTTCTGGTGAAGGGTTGCTTGTTTGAGTTGATTAACTTGGAATAAGAAGAAATGGGAAGAATTGGGACTGGGACAGGTCTAAGCAACAACGACAGCCTGAAAGGCCTCTTCCAAGTTCAGCTGCGGTGGGCTTTGGCTCATGAGCTTCCCCAGCCATGTCCTCTGTCAGGCAGTTGGAGGTGGCAGTACCAATGGAGGAGTCCTCTGTCCCACAGAGCCTCATGCAGCCAAGCTGGGTGTAAGGATAGAATCATCTCCAGGGCAGATATCCATGGAAGGAGTGAGGAGCATCAGTCCCTCCATCAGCATGCACAGGGCAGGGTGTTCTTCAGTGCCTCTTGGCACAGACACGCAGGGGCACGAGTGTGGGGCTGGCTTTGTGTCAGCCCTGGGCTGGTGGAGGCAGCCCTACCTGCCTTGTTCTGTTCTTGTGGGCTGTGGCCCAGGAACCAGTTTGTCCTGTCTTGCTGGGCGAGGTCTGCACCCTTGGTGTCTGGCCCTCTTGCTGAGGTCTGGAGAGGCCTCTGAAATGGTGGGTATGTGGGATACGTGGCATACCGCAGCTCCTCACACTGCTTGCCTTTGCTGTCACCCCAGGGCAGGAGGATGGGGCTGCCCAACGCTTGGGGTTCATCCTGCTGGTGGTTGTCACCATGCTTTGTTCCTACATTCTTGCTTCATTCTGACCCTGTTGCCCTTCACAGCTAGGAAATGTCTCCAGCAAGTTAACATGAGAGCTGTTGGGGTCCCTCCTGCAAAGGAACTGAAATGCACAATGAAACTGTTCATCTGCCTGAAGTAGTGGATCAGGCTGGGCTGAATTACACTCTGCCCTTCACAGGTGCCTACTGAGGTTATAGTCCAGTCTTCAACAAGAAGCTCCCTGGAAACTCTTCAGTCACGGCACCAACTAACCTGGATCTCTGTCAGGTTGTCAGAGCCCAGCTCTAACTCTCTCCTGACTATGCTAGAGATGGTGTTTGTTAGCTGGGCCTCCAAACAGCCACAAGGCAGGGCCCAAAATGTTGGACATGAGCTAAAAGCAGGAGGTAACTCTGCAGTCCCACTGTCTAGTGGAGCAGTAATGACAGCTCATGACAAAAGACTGAGGCTTCCTCATGGCAGAAATGCCTTTAGTGTGTCCCTCTCTCCTTACCATGGTGTTCCTGGTGCACTTCTCTATCACTCAGTGAAACCAAGCCAGGCAGCGAGATAAGTGATCACTAGAAAATGTGGTTTGGGGACAGAAGTGGTGAAAGACTTGTCTTCTCTTTAACTGCATCTGTATCAAGTTGGTGGAAAAGGCATGAATGGGTGAGGGCTGTTTTTATGTATGTATGTCTCACAGTGTAATCTTTCACCAGTTCTTTCCAGACCTCGTCTGCTTTTCCAGGTCTGAAAGGGTGTGCTGAGTTCCTGTGACTAATCTGTGCTAGGTGGCCCTGTAGCTATGATGCTGCATCCTCCTCCTATTACCTTCTATTCTGAGCAGTTGGTCAAACCAGTGCAAAACTGGATGCAGGAGCACTGCTCTGGTCCTGGTGTCTGTTTCACTTCATGTGAGCTTCAAAGAGAACAAGCCAGCACCCAAAAGTGCTGCTTCAGGCCTGTGCAGGAAGGAGATCCATTCGGATGACTTAGCAGGAGTGCTGACATGAAATTAATAGGGTCTCACTCTGCAAGTGTCTTGTAGCTGGGACTTGTGAGTCTCCCATTGGAGTGATGGCTAAGAATGACTCCTTCCTGTGCTAAAGCCAAACCACTCCATTTCCCCTTGCTGAGGAAACATAATACCTCTTGCCTTTAATATGAAGATCTCAAGACACTTTAATATAAACCACAAATGACTCATCCTGATAATTCTGCTGTAGGAAGAGGATATTATCTCCTCCTCCTTTCATACAGATCCAAACCTCGAGATTAAATGACTTGCCTGTCTCACTTTCAGAGGTGGGTATAGAACCCATGAGCTAGAAGTCCCAATCCAGTCTTTTAACTGAGAGGTCTTGCTGTAGCCAGTCAACCTTGTACTCACCCATAGGCCGCACACTTCTTTTCCTAGCACAGGAGGTAAAGAACTCATCTGGTTTTATGGGGAAAGTGTCATCCTTGAGCAGAGAGCAGCGATAGGTTTAGGGCTCCTTTCCAATTTTGTGTGTGCCTGCATGCTCCAAAGGCAGTGCTAGGCACAAGCAGCAGGCAGCTCATAGGAGATGTCCGTGTTGCTGAGGAGAGTGAGGTTCCAGGGCAGGCATGACATTGTGAGAGGATGGGAAGAGCACAGGGCAGTGAGGCCGGGCATTGGCAGGTCTGCTGATGACAAGCAAGCTGCTGATGGACCTTGTGCTGCTTTGCAAGGCTATGATGAATAGAGTGCTGTGCCCTGGCTGGGCTGAATTGGCTGGAGGAGTGCCTATGGGGTTGTGTCCTTCACCCTTCCACCACCCTCTTCTAGCAGTACCCTGGTTGCTCTGCGTGCACCCAGTTTGGCAATGAGAGCATAGCTGTGAACCTGTGCAACTTTACAGCTTTCTACCTCCAACACAACCAAGTCCAGTGCTTCCAGGGGTGCAGGTTAGCACACCTTTAAGGCAATGTGCGATGCTGTCCCATTCAGAAGTGATAAAAAGCCATGTCTCTGCACATCCATCCCAGCTTTGGAGGGCTTTGCTCTGCAAAGCACACTAGTAAGGAACAAGTCCTTATGCTCAAGGGAGTTACTGGTATTTACATAGGAATGTCTCTTTTTTCCCCTCTCTGGGTCTACTGGATATATTTTTACTGCCTTGTCCTCCAGTCTCCTTACTGCCCATCAGAACAGAATTTGAATGTAAGCCCAGTTTGCCTTCTGGTTTTCCTTGTTTTGGAGCATCCACTAGCTTGCTTCAGCCTGAAGCCAGCATAAGAGTCAGCTCAGAAGCAATGTGGAAGAGTTTAATGCACCAGTACAGACCTAGCTATTTTGCCATGCCTGCAAGAACTTTGGATCTCTGAAACTTCTGGCAAGAATGCTCTATTATGGAGAAGACTGTTACCTCTCTCAGGATGGGAAGGACTTGGCTGCTTCTACTCTGGGTAAGGTAATTGTGGCTGAAGGCTTATACTCTGCAATGCCTGGCTTAGAAAGTGCCAGAATGGTTCTCTTTGGCCTAAATGTTTTAGAAACCAGTGCAGTATAAAAAGCAGGAATATATTACTGGTCTTCTGTTGTCTCAGCCTGAAAAATGTTCTTTCATTTTTCAGGTGGGAGCCCACTGTAGACAGTGAGAAAATGGAGAGAGCAAGTGGGGACAAAAGGAATAAATCCTGGTTAGTAGAAGCTTTCGCCATGGCTTGTGACTGAAGTGTTTTCAAGGTGATGCGAGTCACAGCCATTTTCCTTCCATGGCTCACTTCTATCCTGGAGAGAGAATTGTGGAAAACTCCTAGAAAACTACTTTGGTAGTTTTCCTCTCTCACAGGTAGAAAATTATTTACATCATAGGGACACAGAAGTGATGGGAGAGACCTTTTTACATATTTTTCTAAACAGGAGAGACAACGCATTGTTTCAAACCACAGGCTACATCCACAGGCTCAGTGGATCCCTGTAAGATATTCCTGTGACTTACTTGCTGTCGAGAGGCAGAGAGGCTGCACAGAACTTGCCGACAATGGATGATTCATCCTTCCTCCAAAACTGGTTCTTGGGGAGATACTTCAGTGTCACACTGTTTACCTGACAGAGGGGAACTCTGTGAGCCAGCAGCCGTTTGCCCATCTCCTGGTGCTTAGGTCTGCAAGGCAGGGTGAGAGACATGAAAGAGGAGATGTGTTGAAATACTGAAGGAATCTGGGGTGTTATCATGAAACCCTCACATGATAAAATGGAGTGAGAAGACTCATCTGTCAAAACAGGGCATTGCAAGAGAGTCTTACTGGCTGTCTCTTCATGTTTTATGTCTGTAGTCAGGAATGTTTCTCTATAAACATCCTTTCTTCCATCACAGAATTACAACAACTCTTCTTGCTGTTGCATATAGATTGAAACACTGCCCAGATTGCTACAGAGAGGTAAGTGGTAGATAAGGTCAATATCTATGAAATCGTGAATGGCATTCATAGGCATTGGTTGTTCATAATTTCTTCCAGTACATCAACTAGGGGTCACTAAAGAAAGCTAAGATGTGGCAGGCTCAAATATATTGCACGTGACACAGATTACAAACCCTGTTAAGCTATTAAAATCATTGCTGTGGCATGTTGTGGATGCTAGAAAGTTTATATGACTGTACAAGTCATGGGAGGGGGACAGGAGAAGGTTGTGGAAGACAAAAGCTAATAAGGACAAAGATCTCACCTTTGGCTCTGGAAGTCCCTGAGATGTAATTAATCAGAC